GCAAAGAAAAAAAAGAACCTTGACCTAAACCTCGCACCTCATACAATAATTAATTCAAAATGGATCATAACCTTAAATGTAAAACATAAAACTATCAAATTTTTAGAAGGAAACATACAAGAATATACTCATGAGCTGGGGTATGGCAAAGAGTTCTTAGAAATAATACCAAAAAATCTAAAAAAGGTTTTAGATAAAAGAAAAAAATCTAAATTTAAAGACATTTTCTTTGCCAAAAACACTTTCAAGAGAATGAACAGACAAGCTACATATGCGATGGAAATATTTGCAAATCACATATTCAACAACGGACTTATATCCAGAATGTATAAAGAACTCTCAAAACTAAACAATAACCCAATTTAAAAGCAAGCAAGGGCTTCCCTGGTGGCGCAGTGGTTGAGAGTCCGCCTGCCGATGCAGGGGACACGCGTTCGTGCCCCGGTCCGGGAAGATTCCACATGCCGCAGAGCGGCTAGGCCCGTGAGCCATGGCCGCTGAGCCTGTGCGTCCAGAGCCTGTGCTCCGCAACCGGAGAGGCCTCGGCATTGGGAGGCCCGTGTACCACAAAAAAAAAAAAAGCAAGCAAGAACTTGGACACTTCACTGAAGAAGATATATGAATAGCGACTAAGCTCATGAAAAGTTCTCAACATCATTTGCCATTAGGGAAATGAATATTAAAACCATGAAAAGAGGGGCTTCCCTGGTGGCTCAGTGGAAAGTAACTAGATGACTAGAAATTTTCCTGATAAAGTTGAAATACTTAAGTACTGGTAGTAGGCAATATTTCTTAAAAATTTTCTTGCTTTGGAATTATACTAGGCAGAAATTTGGAAACAAGTTTAGGTGACATTGTTACTGAAAGAACCAGTTTTAACTCCCTGGAGACAAGTCTTCTTCAATATCATTAGCACAGGAATAATTTTTGTTCATGAGTGTATGGACTGAACTGCATCCCCCCCAAAAAATCCATACGTTGAAGCTCTAACCCACAATGTGACTGTATTTGGAGATAGGGCCTTTAAGGATGTAATTAAGGTTAAATGAGGTTATAAGAGTAGGACCTTAATACAATCTGACTGGTGTCCTTATAAGATGAGGAAGAGACATGAGGAGTTTTTGGTGCACAGAGGAAGGGCCATGTGAAGACACAGCAAGAAGCTTGCCGTCTGCAAGCCAGGAAGAGAGGTCTCGCCAGAAACCAATCCTATTGGCACCCTGATTTTGGACTTCTAGCCTCCAGAACTGTGAGAAAATAAATTTCTATTGTTTAAGCCATACAGTCTGTGGTATCTAGTTATGAGCACCCAGGCCAACTAATTCAATGAACTAATAAAAAATTTTAAAGTTTCTTCTTTTCCTTCCCTAAAAAAAACCCCACAGTTGTATGACACTGAAATCTTCATACACTGAGATCCTGTATGATTTTGCTTTTCACTAAACTTCGCCATCATTGTAGCCATATCTGCACACTGTAAGAAAAGCAGTATGAGACCCCTATTTTTTTTTACTACAAATAAATTTTCTAATATCAGTTTGGTTATGTCTCAGTTCCTATATTTTCCTTAGTTATGTTATATCTCTGTATTAGTCCGCTCAAACTGCCATAACAAAATGTCATGGACTGGGTGACTGAAGCAACATTTATTTTCTCACAGTTCTGGAGGCTGGAAGTCCCTGATCAAGGCTTCAGCCAATTTGGTTTCTGGTGAGAGAGCTCTTCCTAGTTTGCAGGCAGGTGCCTTCTCAACAGGTCCTCACAAAGCATTTCCTTCATGCTTGTGCTTTCTGCTGTCTCTTGTTATAAGAAACTAATCCTATCAGGTCAGGGTCCCACCCTTATGACTTCATTTAACTTTAGAGGCCTCATCTCCAATACAGGCACACTAGGGGTTAAAACTTCAACGCATGAACTTTGAGGGAAACATTCAGTCCATAACAATCTCAACATAACCTGCCTTTCTAGGTTATCATTTAATAAAATGTTAGAGCTCCCAAACTCCAGCAAAAAAGAGAGACAACAAAGATCTGTCTGGTACATAAACACTGAGATAAAATTCAGCATTTTTTAAGTAAGTCAATGCTCCACAACACCATTCAAGTGCTACAGAAGACTTGGTCAGAGAGAACGAAATGTAAACTACAGGAATGATCTGTGAGGAGCTGGAGAGGCTATACCTATGCCTGGAAGATCAGGCAGGGAACAATGAAAGCAGTGCTCAATCACCTGGGCACTGGCAGGTAATCTGGGAACAGACTGGATACTACTGGGTGGTCTTCCAGGGAAATAATATTTCAAATACAGACCTCCCCAGCTGAGACAGATGCAAACTGCTTTTCTTTTGATTTAGTCAGCATATGGCCACACAGTAGTCTCAGCTATTATCTGTGGTTTACCACATTCCTTGGAAAATCTACTACAATTACACTAGTACATCCAAAAGATAGGTGTCTTAAAAGGGAGCCACAGAATGAACAGTCCCAATCCACTCCTTGGGAATCTACTCCCCAGCCAACATACTAGAGAAAAGACTTCTTAGGTTTCACCAAAATGGTACTACCATAAGAGGTACTAGGCTAAATGAAACAGTGCTGTGTATATACTTTGTGAGTACGGTTGCTCTAATCTCTCCCGTTTTACTGTATCAACTCAAGTGCCAGATTAATGTTTCCAGAACTCCATTGCTCCACAATTAAAAACTGCGTCTAGGGCTTCTCTGGTGGCGCAGTGGTTGAGATTCCGCCTGCCGATGCAGAGGACACGGGTTCGTGCCCCGGTCCGGGAAGATCCCAAATGCCACGGAGCGGCTGGGCCCGTGAGCCATGGGCGCTGAGCCTGTGCGTCCGGAGCCTCTGTTCCGCAACGGGAGAGGACACAACAGCGAGAGGCCCGCGGACTGCAAAAAAAAAAAAAAAAAAACTGCCTCTAGCCTCCTGAGTCAAGTACAAACTCCTTCGCCTAGCAAGCAAGCAAGAATCTCCATAGTAAAAACCCAGCATATTCAACTTTATCTTCACTACCAGTCACAACACTTGCCCCAAATGTGAGGCTCACCCCTGCTCTTTGCCTGATGTGAAAGCTCTTCTGCTCTCTCTCCTCTCCACTTGGCATCCACAGCCTTTTCATTCTTTGTGTGTCACCTCCCTCATGAAGCATCCTCTAATGATATCATATACACATGGATTCTTCCTTCAGTCAACAATTATGCATTAAGAACCATTATTCCAGAAGCTGAGAGGGCTCCTTCCTCCCAATTCTTTTTGTTCACCATTGTCTGTGACTTAGATTTAATAATGGTAATACTGTCCTGGTCTCCCAATAAGTCACTTTATTATATTTGTGGAAAAGCCTCTTAAATGTTTTATTTACTAGTTGGTTCTCGTGTGCAATCTCAATTTAACTGTAGGTGATTTTCCTCATATACATCTCGTATACCTTCCACAGCACATTAGGTAAAGGGCTAAATACCTTAATATTATTTGATGTTAAATATGTTTTCACTTGCAAACCTTGTTAATACTTACTTTTGGAGGAATAGAAGGAAAGAGATATTTTCAGTTGCTGCAAATTGTCCTTAACTTTGTTAGACAAATATTTATGGAGCTCCTACTATGTGTCAGATACAGGCATAAATATTCTGTTATGATAGGGCCTTAATCACGGATATTTCCCCAGCACCCATCACTGTTTTCTGCACATAATTAATGCTCAATAAGTATGTGTTGAGGGGACATATGAATGTAGCCTCCTTGCCCTCAAGCAACTTATATTTTAATAGTGGGGGTAAATGAGATACAGGTGATGAACAAAAATAAACAAGTAGATAGGCAAGGTAATTTCAGAGCGTGATAATCACTATACAGAAAATAAAACAGAATACCATATACTACGCAGTTGTTTGCAAATTTGGAGATTTGCTATCAGCGGAGTCAGGCGACCCCATCAGCATGGCTTGGTGGTAAAGAGGGCAGTCTCTGGAGGCAGATTTCTCCGGTTTACAGCCCTGCCTCCCTCTTTCACTGTGTGGCTCTGGACAAATGACTTAACCTTCCTGGCCTCCTTTTTCCCATCCTCCAACAGTACCTATCCCGCAGGAAGTGAATCGAGGATTACAGAATTGATATGGAAAGTGTTTGGTGCTGTGCCTGGCAATCTGGGAAGCAGTCCGTAAATGTTAGTAATCATTACCGCTGGTCAGGTTAACTCCCTTGGCGCTAAACAGACCCGCTCTGCCCTGAGCCCCGCCCAGATCCGCGCCCCGTGCCGAGGCAGGTAGTAGAGAAGGGCTGAGCAGGGCAGAGTTTTGACCTTGAATTGAGGTCTTAAGAGGCCATGGGATCGGTGCCCCCCTTCCGTCTGCGAGGGCGGACGGAGGTGGGCAGGCGGACTAGGGCCGCCGAACCGGGTGCGCGGCGGGCCCCAGCCCTCCCTCAGGCGGCAGGCCTCGAGGGCTCGGACCCGCCCACCCCGCGGCCCGGGGCTGCTGGTCGCAGGCCGAGTTCTCCCTCTGCGCCGGCCTCTCGGGGCGCGGGTGAGAGGGCGGCACCCCGAACCTTCTCGCCCCGCCCCCAACGCAACGGTCGCCAGCGGGGAGCACCGCCCACCCAGGGTGCGAGGCCGCGGGCGGCGGGCTCGCCAGGCGATTGGCCGGGAGGGTTGCGAGGGGCACGCGGGCGGGGGCGGGGGGCGGGCACATGCGCACCGGCGGTGCGGCCGGCACGCGGCGCTAGCGCTCTCAGCTTAAATGAGCGTGGGCTCGCCGCGCCCGCCACTTCAGCGGGGCCTGCGCCGAGGCCGCAGGCGGACGGGCCCGCGCTCCCCGGCAGCGAGGCGGTCGATGGGACGGAGCGCCGCGGAGCAGGAGGCGGCGCCCGTCGGGGGGCTGGGGC